GCTCACTGGCTGAGCGTGGTGCTGACAACACCAAGTCAAGGGTTAAGATCCCCTTACCGGTCATCTTTAAAAAAAAAAAAAAAATTACAATGGCCAAACATGGATCCTTTCAAATAAATCAGTTAAGTTAAATATGTACATACATGCTTATATTTATACTTTTTAGAGAGCTCTCATCTTATACAACTGTCTTCTAGGTACCTACAGAAAAGAATAATTATCAAAACAGCCTTTAAAATACAGATTAGATTTTAAAAAGTTAAAATTCTTTAGACCTTCCACAAAATTCCATAAACTTAAAAAAGAAATATTTATAAAAATTAAATTGTTTTAAAATTATGACTCAACTTTTTGGGGTACACATTTGTGATCCTTCAACCTCCTTAGACAGCTGTTGATTTCCTGTTTATCTTACCAATGGTTTTTGATGTTGTCTATAGGGACACATACAATCTTTTCGGCTAAGGAGCTTAGAACCTACAAACTATGGCCAAACTAAAACGTGGGTTACGCCCCTCTACAGCCAATAAACGTCTAAACTTTCCTCTTTAAGTTGTCATTAAAAAGAGTCTAGATGGAAGGATATAAAATTTTTGTTTGTTTTGGATTTGAGTTATTTATTCAGATATATCTTTAATCTAAAATCTGGTTTAAAATGTTAAAAAACTTTTAATTTCTCTCCAAAGCTAAATAAATAGGATTTGTAGCTAGCATACTGTGTGTTGCCAGTTCTCAGGGCTTTGTTTTACAGAGTGGTACTGAAGCCTGAGAGGGATTATTTACACCTCTTTGGTTTTGAGTCTCTTGGTAGCTACCTTAAAAAATTGTTTGTTTGTTAATTGGGTGGCTGGCTGGTATGGGGATTCAAACCCTTGACTGTGATGTTATCAACACCACACTCTAACCAACTAAGCTAACTAGCCAGTCCCTGGTAGCTATCTTAAAATTTAAAAGCCAGAAATATTTACTGTTTATTCCGGAAAATAGATAATTATTTAAAAAAATTTTTAGAGCTCTATGGTTAAATTTGTCTTAACTAAAAGCTAATAATTCGGGGCCGGCCCGTGGCTCACTCGGGAGAGTGCGGTGCTGATAACACCAAGGCCCCGGGTTCGGATCCCACATAGGGATGGCCGGTTCGCTCACTGGCTGAGCGTGGTGCTGACAACACCAAGTCAAGGGTTAAGATCCCCTTACCGGTCATCTTTTAAAAAAATAAATAAATAAATAAAAGCTAATAATTCAAGCTATTTTTTCAGTCAACTAAACCTTTTTTTTTCTTTCTCTTTGTTAATGGGCTTTTACTCTTATCTCAGTAATCTAATTAAAGAATAGAAAGTAAGTGGGAAAAGTCACCTAACTTGATTAGTCTCCCAAAATATGACTTTCTGGCATTCAACTGGTTATTCTGATTAGACTTCAAAGTTTTCTATGTATTTCCTTATAAAATCCTGTAGTTATGTTACCTGAACATCTGTCTTCCTCTATGACTTATGTAAATGATATATGTAAACCTAATCCTCCCCCCAATCACGGCATTCCTAATAAATGGTTGATAAACCTGTCAGGCCAAAACCAAAGTTTACAGCCACTTCCAGAGAAAATCCTCGAGACCAATTTAAAAAGAGACAACAAATCCAGTTTTAAAAGAAATGGATATTTCATCCATCCACATGAGCCTTGAAAATATTCAGACCTAATAGATAATATGCCTTAAGCTCTTTCTTAGAAGAACTCACATTCCTTCTCTAAGCCTTGAGATATAGATCTTCTACCTTCCACCCCCAGGAGTTATTCCCTTTGGAAATACAAATCTAGGGTGTCCTAATTAACAGCTGCTTAGGACAATAAAACAGGTAATTAAAGATTGATAGTCTGAGAAAGAAAACTTTTTAAGAACTAACAAAAAATCTTAATGAAAACTATAGGATCTGTGTTTTCATGTGTACACGCATACATGTATGTGGTATGTTCTACATTTATATGTTTATACTTGTGTGTGTATATTGTCTACATGGTACCAAATTGGCCTATGGATAATGTGCATTTATAATAAGCCTAAATGCTTTTCAAGTTCACATTACTTTAATAATTTCAACAAATAAAAGTAGTTTTTAAATTGTTGGTAAAATAAAAATGTATTCAAATTTAATTTAGACACTAGGCCTAGCTCTATTGGTCAGATAAAATTTTATGCTATATCTGCTAGACATTTAAAAAATCATAAAACTTTTACTTCTATTATATTTCTATACTGACTTGATTTACTTGTAATCTAAAGCCGTTAAGAACTGACTATTGGGTCATGCTAGAATAAGACATTATCTTTGTAGTTCTGCCCTCTGTCCTGAGACACTCCAGGTATGTAATAAAAGCCTTACTCCTCTGTTCAGCCTTTCCTGACCCCTCAAGTTCATATGAATGCCCTCCTCTAGGCTCCCACAGTCCCGGCATCTTAGCGTTCTCCACAGGGCACTTACTCTGTTTACCTCAGAGGACAGGAGGGAATATTTTCTGTTTCTCCTTTTATTCTCAAGTCCAGGCTCATATTAAGTCCACATGAATGCTTAGTGAATGAACACATTACCTTAGGGAATGAGTAAGAAGTTTATGTTTTACAGCCTTTGATCCTGGGACT